GCAAAGAAGTGTCGGTGCGCAGAAACAACGACGGGTCAGCAGTAGAGGGAGCAAACCCAAGAGCCGCAAGCGTAGTCCTCAGTGTGTCGTGCCACTCACGCGGTGCCTGGCGGAGACCGTAGACTGGCCGTCGGAGGCTCCACTGGGTGCCAGGAGGAAAAGTCCCAGTGAAGCCAGGTGGACGGCGCAGCCAGATCTCCTCGTGCAGGCTACCCTGCAAGAAAGCAGTACTGAAGTCAAGAGAGTGGAGCTCGTAGTCGCGCTGAGCGGCTATGTGCAGCAGCACCCGAAGAGTGGTCATCTTCGGGGTGGGAGAGAAGGTCTGAAAGTAGTCAACTCCCTGCCGCTGACTGAAGCCACGAGCGACGTACCGCGCCTTGAAGACAGGTGGAGAGCCCGGCGGCCGCTTCACCCTGAAGATCCACATGCCACTGACGATGTTCGCCCCAGGAGGGGGAACCGCGTCAACGTAGGTGCCTGTGGACTTCCAGGACGCCATCTCTGCATCCATAGCTGCCTGCCACTGAGAGGAGTAGGGACCCTCTACGGCCTCCGCGTAAGAGCGCGGAGTCGGGATGTCTAGTGCATCCGGGTCTCCCTCAGGGGCAAGTAGTACGGACGCGAGATGAGGTGAAGCAGCAGCCAGACACCTGAACTCCTCCTGCCTGTCCTCAAGGACGTCCGTGCCAAGAGCACACTCACCCCCGACGGACGGAGGACAGACAGACGCAGACTCAGCAACAAGACCGGCAGCGTAGTCTAGACGACAGCGAGCAGCAAAGTCGACGAGCTCAGCAACAAGCGCAGACGCAGCAGTGGACTCAAAAGAGGGGTCAGTGACGACAGTAGCAAGGAGACGTGTGACAGCAGGACTGGCAGCACGAAGAGAGTCCGACTCCGGGTCAGGAAGAGCAGGAAGAGAGGACTCAGGAGGAGAAGGCAAAGGGGCACGCAGAGGAGCAGTGGACGGACGCAGAGACATCCGGTGCGTGCCAGGGACAGGAGGAGGACGCTGACGCGAACCACGACCACTAGTGCGAGCAGCACGGACAGGCGACGCAGGGCGAGACGCAGGCTCACGACGCTCAGCAAGACCTCCAGTAGGACCAGTGTAGGGAGAAGGAGCGGGCAGTGGGGAGGCCGGCTGTAACTGTAACTGTGACAGAACAGGCTGTGGACACTCTAAGGGAGGAGGAGGACCAGTAGAAGGCGGGAGACCAAGAACCTGCTGAAGGAGCGGAACGAAGTACGGTCTAGGCCGCGCGACGACTCCAGACACAGCAGGGACAGCACCAGTACCCCCAGCGGCAGCACCAGCGCCAGTAGCACCTCCAGCTCCAGGACCTCCAGCAGCACCAGTAGCACCCCCAGCAGGACCGCCTCCAGGACCGACAGCAGTAGCCTCAGCACCAACGCCCTCAGCAGCTCCAGCTCCAGCACCTCCGGGACCCGCGGCACCAGCACCCTCAGTAGCCGAAGAACCTCCAGCTCCAGCAGCACGCCTCCAGCGCCGGGCAAACCACTCGCGCAGCTCCTGTGGAGAGAGGGGCTCCCGCCGAGGCGAAGCACCCGGAGAACCGCCAGGTCCCGCACCGCCAGACGCCACAAGGGGAGGTCCAGTGGCCGCAGGCTCCGCAGCTCCAGGCTCAGCACCTCCAGACGCAGCACCCCCTGGCTCAGCACCCCCAGTAGCAGCACCCCACGGCTCAGCACCCCCAGACTCCGCACCCCCAGGCTCAGCACCCCCAGTCGCAGCACCCCCAGGCTCAGCACTCCCAGACTCCGCACCCCCAGGCTCAGCACCCCCAGTCGCAGTACCCCCAGGCTCAGCACCCCCAGACTCAGCACCCCCAGGCTCAGCACCCGCAGCAGGACCAGAGTCACCAGCAACCTCGACCGGCTCGACTGCGTCTACCTGGGACACACCTGAAGGGGCAGGACCCTGAGGGGGAAGGGGGTCTACCGGGGGGGGACCTGGCACAAGGAAGTGCGGTGGCGGGGGGAGGGAAGGAGTGCGGTAGGGGAAGAGGCGGTAGAAGGGGACTGACTCGTCGAACGTGACGTCCTGGGAGGACAGAACACGACGAGAGGAGGGGTGGTAGAACTGCCACCCTGGAGCGTCAGGGGGGAAGCCGAGGAAGACACAGGGAGCAGCACGAGGGGACAGCTTGTCCGCAGACAAGTCGCGGACAAACGCCCGAGATCCCCAGACACGGAACGCAGACGCATCGCCGACCTTCCCCGTCCACAGCAGAGCTGGGGAGGTCTCCGGCCGGGAGACCCTGGGGTGAAGGTTGATCTGATGCGCCGCGTACCGAACCGCAAACGGCCACAGAAAATGGGGGGCAGCCGCATGCATCATGGACGTACGAGCGACGTCCATGACCATGCCAATGCGGCGCTCAGCAATCCCATTTTGCTGTGGAGAGTCCGGAAGCGTAAAGGTCTGGCGGATGCCTCGTGCACGACAGTAGGCTCGCAGAAGGCCAGAGGAGAACTCTCCACCTCGGTCAGAGTGCAGACGCAGAACAGGAAAGTCCGAGCCGAAGCTCCCCCTGAGCTGGAGACGAGCTGCGCGGATCCAGTCGATCAACACCGCAGTGACATCACCCTTGCTGCGCAAGGGGAAGACTGTGGTGTAACGCGAGTAATCGTCAACCACCAGCAGGAAGTAGCGCTCGTGACCCTGCCCACGGACGCGGGCGGGGCCCCACACGTCCATGTGAAGCGTCTGCAGAGGAGCCTCTGTCGGGGGAAACTGAGAGGAGTGAGGGGCAGCCCGAAGCCGCCCCTCGACACAGGGGACACAAGAAGGTCCGGGTCCCGAAGGGAGGGGAGGGAGAGACCGGGGAAGACCAGAGACAAGGACACGGGAAGCCATGCCCCGAAGACGAAGCAAGGAGGGGTGGCCAAGGCGGTGGTGCCACAGGAGAGTCTCGTGAGACAGGCGGCGACACGAGCAGGGGGCAGACTCAGGACCAGACCTGGACGCAGCAGCAAACACCTGACCCGACGCAGCTACCTGGCCAGACGCAGGGACAGGAGGAGACGCAGTGGTCAGTGTGTAGAGACTCGACCCTGGCCGACGCGAGAACGTGGCCAGGTGTCGGCCTGTGCGGGCATCCGAGCAGTGGGTCACCCGCTGACTCGCAGGAGTAAACTGGTGAACCCCCGCATCCTGCAAGTCAGCACCACTCACCAAGTTCGTCGAGAACGAGGGGAGGTACAGACCAGACAAGGTGCCCGAGGGGGCAGCCGGACACGGGAGGACAGTGGAGAAGTGAGAGAGGACAGGACCCCCAGAGGGGTCAGCCAGGGAGACTGCAACCGGCCGGCCAAGCGGCGTGAGTGTGGTGCGGTCTCGAAAGAAGGAGCGAGAAGCCCCTGAGTCAAGTGTGAAGGTGAGGGAGGCCGAAGCCGACGCAGTACCTGAGAGCGCAGCCTCACCAGTACCTGAGAGTGCAGACGCACTGGCACCTAGAGCAGCAGCCGCAGAAGTACCTGGCGCAGCAGTACTAATGCCCGGGTCGGGCGGGAAACACTGGTAACAGTCACCCTCCTCACTAATAGTCACAGCATACATGGCAGCAAGGATAGCATCAAAGTCAAGATCAAAGACAGCTACGCCAGCCCTAGACAGCTCTCCCCAACGGGGAATCTCACTGGCCTCGGGGAACTGCTGACGCCAAGCGTCCGTCAGGCGGGCAAAGCAGCGCTGAGTGGGGTGCGCACCCCCACACTGCTCACCCGCTCGGTCACCGGAACGAAGGACGTAGGTGCATGGACCAAAACCCCCACCCCGCTGACGCTGCGTGTACCACTCACGGAGCTGGTGGGGCGGGGGGATGTCCCGCGAACGCTGCTGCTGCTGCTGCTGCTGCTGACGCTGGCCACCACCAGGGCCGCTACGCTGCGGGGCACCACCCCGACCAGCTCCACCCCCTCCGCCACCGCTGCCTCCACCTCCACCACCACCGCTGCCTCCGCTCCCACCGCTGCCGCCACCGACGCCTCCTCCTCCGCTGCTGCCACCTCCACCACCGCCCCCGCCACCACTCCCACCGCCACCCCCACTCCCTCCTCCGCCTCCACCGCCTCCTCCACCGCCCCCGCCAGCTCCACCCGCGCCCTTGCCCCCCTTGCCCCTGCCAGGGCGGCGTCTCCCGCTAGGGGCAGACGCCGCGCAGACCGACTCAAGACCAAGCAGGTCGGCAGCAGCAGCAGAGGCAACAGAGGGCAGCAGGGGGGAAGGAGAACACCCCTCAAAGATGGGGGTGCGAGGGTCACCACGAGAGGCTCCTACAGCGACGATGCTCTTCTCCGCCGCCAGGAGGGACTTCTCGAGGAGGTCGACAGTGAGAGTGGTGGGACAGACCGAGAGGTAGTGGTCCCTGACTACGCGAAGGGAGTCAGGGAGGCGTGTGACGATGTAATAGAGAGTGATGTACATGGGGGGGGGGTTCTTGGCGCAGAACTCAGCAGGAAGGGCGGCGCGGTAGCGAGTGTCACTAGTGCGGAGGTGCGTAATGAGGTCAGCGACGGTGGGAAAGGCAGCAAGGTCAGGAAAGAGGTACGGTAGCATGAGGCGGCTCAGGGCAGCAGTGGCAGGGGAAGAGTAGCGCGCAACTACAGCGTCGTACAAGGTCTGAGCACTCTTGTACTGACTAAAGTGCGCGCGCTCAGTGGTAGGCAGGTGGCGACGCACAGCAAGACGTGCAGCAGCATCGCGGGTGGCCCACTGAGAGCGAACAGTGGGGTCAGCATCAGTAGCAGGGGCAGGAGAGGCGCCAGAGGTGAGGTCAAAGAGGGAAAGACCGTCCGCCCTATCGCACTGTAAGAACAGCTGCAGGTCGTCGACCCAGACCTCAAAGTCAATGGCTCGACCCTCAGCGTCAAAAGCGAGGACGCTAGGGGTAGCCATGACGACGACAGACGAGCAGTGCAAGCAGTAGGGGAAGGGCACGCAGTGACAGTGGGGCTGTGCTCACCGGACAGGGCAGGTCGGGCGGCCCGGCAGTAGGGCGGCTCGGCTGCTCAGCGGCTCGGCGGCAGTGCAGCTCGGCGCCCGGGCGGCTCGGCGGCAGGGCGGCTCGGCTCCCGGGCGGTTCGGCGGCAGGGCGGCTCGGCTCCCGGGCGAATCGGCGGCAGGGCGGCTCGGCTCCCGGGCGGCTCGGCGGCAGGGCGGCTCGGCTCCCGGCGGTTCTGCTGCTAGGCGGCTCCCGCAGGTAGGGCGGCGGTTGGGCCGCAGGTAGGGCGGCGGTCGGGCCGTAGGTAGGGGGGCGGTAGGGCCGCAAGTGGGGCGGCGGGCAGGCCGCAGTTAGGGCGGCGGGCGAGCCGCAGGTAGGGCGGTGAGTGGGCCGCAGGTAGGGCGGCGTGGGGCCGGGACGGGCGGCGCGCGGGCGTCGAGGGGACGGGACGGGCGGCGCGCGGGCGTCGAGGGGCCGGGACGGGCGGCGCGCGGGCGTCTAGGGGTCGGTCCGGGTGGCGCGCGGGCGTCTAGGGGCCGGGACGGGCGGCGCGTGGGCGTCGAGGGGCCGGGACGGGCGGCGCGCGGGCGTCTAGGGGCCGGGACGGGCGGCGCGCGGGCGTCTAGGGGCCGGGACGGGCGGCTCACGGGCGTCGAGGGGCCGGGACGGGCGGCGCGCGGGCGTCGAGGGGCCGGGACTGGCGGCGCGCGGGCGTCTAGGGGCCGGGACGGGCGGCGCGCGGGCGTCTAGGGGCCGGGACGGGCGGCGCGCGGGCGTCTAGGGGCCGGGCCGGGCGGCGCACTGGCGTCTAGGGGCCGGGACGGGCGGCGCGCGGGCGTCTAAGGGGCCGGGACGGGCGGCGCGCGGGCGGCTAAGGGCCGTGACGGGCGGCTAAAGGGGCCACTAGGGGCCAAGAGAGAGGGGAGCGCGACCCGGGTAGGGGCAGAGTGCGCTCCGGGCAGGAAAAAAAAAAAACGGTGGGCCCTAGGAACAGTTCCCACGAGGGAACCTGCTCGATACCATGAGAAAAGTAGAACGAGAATGGATGAACTATGAATGAAGTGAGTACATATGGGAAACCCTAATTGGGTTGTACCCCCTATGGGATACCCCACTATAGCCTACACAACAGCATAAGCTATATATATGTTCTGACACCTGGGTGAGTTGTTACTGAAGGCGCCTGCCTGGGTGAGTTGTTACTGAAGGCGCCTACCTAGGTGAGTTGTTACTGAAGGCGCCTGCCTAGGTGAGTTGTTACTGAAGGCGCCTGCCTAGGTGATTTGTTACAAAAGGCGCCTGCGTAGGTGAGTTGTTACTTAAGGCGCCTGCGTAGGTGAGTTGTTACTGAAGGCGCCTGCGTAGGTGAGTTGTTACTGAAGGCGCCTGCGTAGGTGAGCTGTTACTGAAGGCGCCTGCCTGGGTGAGTTGTTACTGAAGGCGCCTGCCTGGGTGAGCTGTTACTGAAGGCGCCTGCCTGGGTGAGTTGTTACTGAAGGCGCCTGCCTGGGTGTGAGGATCTAGGATCGAGCTCAGAAAAATGGGTTTGAATTGAATGCTCCACCTGGGTACAATACGAGGCTATATATAGGCTCGACACAAGGCAGGTAACCCAGGTGTTACGCGAATGTTCTGAGGGTCGCGAAGCGTCCCGAACATAACCTTCCCGAACTCAGTAGAAAGCAATTCGGTGGAAACCGAATAGGCTTGAGTTCGGTACACGTAACCTGGTTCGGTGCTATAACTATAATAACATATAGGAATGCACCTAACCTAGGAAATCAAGCATATCTATGCATGATAAAATAAACCCAAGCTAGATATAGCATAATAAGCAAGCATAAGCCGTCGTACTCTCACACGTCCCCCCCTCAAAGCTGGGTGGCGTGAGATACACCCTGCTTGACAAGATAGTCCTGGAGAGCACGGCGTGCGTTGCCCATATCAGCTTCTGCAACCCAACTGTCCTCAGTGGGGTCGTATCCCTTCCAGCGTATCAGGAACTCGAGGGTCTTGCCGCCGCGGCGCCGATGAGTGAGAACGCGCTCCACTTCATACTCAGGTTCATCCTGTATGAGAACAGGTGGTGGTGGCGGTAGCTGCCGTCCCTAGAACTGTTGGTTGGGGTCCTTGTAGGGTTTCAGTAGCTGGATATGGAAAGCATTGTGAAGCTTCCACGTAGTAGGTAAGCGCAAGCGGAATGTTACTGGTGTCACCTGTGCCTCAACGAGAAAAGGACCATAGAAGCGAGGCCGGAGTTTGGATGGGAGGTGAGACAGGTTCAAGTTGCGCGTGTCAAGAAGCACCTGATCTCCGACTGCTACTGAGTGATCTCGTCGCTGGCAATCGGCATACTGCTTCTGGGAGGTCTGCATCGTGATGAGACGTCGCTGGGTCATGGTGGTGACGAAGTCGTGTGCGGCTTGGACGTGTGCCGGTGTGGTCGGCTGCTGTGGTGTAAGTGGTTCCCGTCCGTAGCACAGGAAGAAAGGAGATTTCCCTGTGGCCGCATGTGACGCGTTGTTGTAAGCGAACTCTAGGGTCGGTAACTGTGTGTCCCAGTGGCTGACATTGTCTTTGCAAGCTGTGCGCAGTAACTGTTCAACCACCTGATTGAGTCGCTCTGTCTGTCCGTCAGTCTGGGGGTGGTATGCTGAAGACATTGCAAGCTTTGTCCCCAACAGTCCCATAAGCTCCTTCCAGAACTTACTGGGGAATTTTGGGTCTCTGTCTGAGATGAGTGTAGCGGGGATGCCGTGGATGGTGATGATGCGGTCGAAGAAGAGGCGAGCAGTTGCTTTAGCTGTAGCTGTGGCGTTGGTCGGTATGAAGTGACCCATTTTGGAGAACTTATCGATCACGACGAGGATGGAATCGTGTCCCCGTGAGGTCGAAGGAAGTCCTGTGATGAAGTCGAGGCTAACGACCTGCCATGGCTGCTCCGGTACGGGTAGAGGCTGAAGTAACCCTGCTTTTTTCTGCTTGCTACTCTTCATCCGCTGGCACGTGTCGCATGAGGTGACGAACTGCTGCACGTCTGCTGCCATCCCGGGCCAGTAGTAATACTTCGCTATCCCTGCTAACGTCTTGTTGCTCCCGAAATGTCCCGCGTACGGTACGTCGTGAAACTCCTCCAGTAGAATCTGTCTGAGCGGGGCATAGTTCGGTACCCAAATCTTTTCTGTGCCCTTCCTTACAGCTAAGTCTTTCTCCCACTGTAACAGCTTCTTAGTCTGTGCTGTAGCGATCTCTGCGTCCACGGAGTATCCATGTCGGAATAGACCCTTGAGCAGAGGGTTCATCCCGTCCAGCTGGATGCCTGCTACATGACCGGGGCGGCTCAACGCGTCTGCCTTGTTGTGTAGCCCGGGCTTGTAGACGATGTCGTAGTGGAAGTGAGTTTCCAGGAAGTCCACCCACCGCACCTGTCGTCGTGAGAGCGTCGGCTGCGACTTCAGGTATTTGAGACTGCAGTGGTCAGTATAGACTGTAGTCTTGGCTCCCTCTAGGTAACACCTCCACGCCTTGAAGGTTATGACTATCGCTAAGGCTTCCTTGTCATGGATGGGGTAGTTCAGTTCTGCTCCGTGTAGCTTCTTACTGAGGTAGGCGATGGGCTGCAAACCGCGTCCGTGATCCTGCATCAGTACTGCTCCAACTGCCTGGTCACTAGCGTCTGCTTCCACCACGTAGTCTTTGTCTGGGTCCGGTAGGATGAGTACTGGCGCTGTAGTCAGTGCTGTCTGTAATTGCTCCATGGCTTGCTGATGAGGAGTATCCCATTTGTAGGGTGTATCCTTTTTCAGTAGGTCGGTCAGTGGCGCTGCTATCTTAGCGTACTGCGGCACGAACCTGTTGTAGTAGTTGGCGAAGCCTAGGAACTGCTGCAACTCCTTCACGTGTCCGGTACTTTCCACTTCTTGACGGCTTCGATCTTCCGCGGGTCCACGTGTACGCCCTCGGCACTCACCATGTGCCCGAGGAACTGCACCTTCTTCAGGGCGAAGTCGCTCTTCGACAGCTTCACGTAGAATTTGTTTTTCCGCAGGATCTCGAACACCTTCCGTAGATGCTCCACGTGCTCCTTCATGTTCTTGGAGTAGATAAGAATGTCGTCCAGGTACACCACTACGCACTCGTCCAGCAGGGGTCGTAAGATGTGATTCATCTCCGCCTGAAACGTTGCTGGTGCGTTGCAGAGTCCGAACGGCATCACCAAGTATTCGTAGGAGCCGTATCTGGTACGGAACGCCGTCTTGTGGACCGAGTTGTCTGCCATCCTGATCTGCCAGTAACCCGACCGTAGGTCCAGCTTCGAAAAGACTGTTGCACCACGCAGTTGGTCTAGAAGATCGTCTATGCGCGGTATGGGGTATTTGTTTTTAACCGTCTGTTTGTTCAGTGCGCGGTAGTCGATGCACATCCGTAAACTGCCGTCTGGTTTTGGAGTGAAGAGAACTGGTGCACCGTAGGGAGAGGTGGATGGGCGGATCAGTTGTCTGTCCAGTAGATACTCTATCTGTTTCTTCATGTCTGTCAGTTCGGTTGGACTCAGTCGGTATGGTGCACGTGAGACGGGTTTCGCTCCTGGTTCCTCCACGATCTCGTGTTCGTGGGTGCGTGCTGGAGGTACGCCTGCAGGTAGGTCGTCGGGCATTATATCCTTGTACTGCTCCAAGACTTCCTTCACTGCTGCAGGTAGCTCTGCGTGCAGCTTCTCCTCCTCTGCTGTTGCCATAACCAGTGCTAAGTAACCCGTGTTGCTCTCGTTCACCGTCCGTTCGAACCGTGCCAGTGTCGTTTCAGGAACATTCCCTGTATCCGTCCAGCTTCGCAGCTCCACTCGTTTCCCGTTGTTGTAGATGCACGCCTTGCGGTTGACCCAGTCGATCTCGGGGTTGAACCGCTTCAGGAAATCTCGCCCCAAGATGAAATCTAAACCCTTGATGTTTGTGATCGGCAACGTCGGCTTCCACCTCAGCGCCCCTATGTGCAGCTGCAGTGATGCTTCGCCGTGGATGGGAAGTTTCGTACCGTCCACCATCGTTGTCGTGAACTTGGTCTCCTCCGAAGGTTCTCCAATTTTCTCCAACGTCCCGCAGTCGCACACCGAGTGAGACGCACCACTGTCCACCAGTGCCTGGAGGCGTCGCCCGTTGCAGATTACCTCGAGTAGTAGTGGTTGTTGCCGCTCCGAGTAACCGTAGATGGTCTCGCTTATAGGATCATGGGGTACGTCAAATATATCTCCCCTAGGTCCTGCGCTCGAAGCTGCTGACTCGATA